CATCGTCAGCGGCGCGGCTGAAGAGTATGCACGCGGAACCGGGGTTCGAGCTGACGACGTCGGCCGAGATCGTTGGCCTTTCGACGACGCCGGGCGGCGCCGTCACGGGGGTCCGGTACACGCACGAGGCGCAGCGGCACGAACTGGCGGGGCTAGTCGTCTTGGCGGCGGGCGGGTTCGCCGGCGACGCCCGTGGTCTCCTGGCGCAGCATCGCCCCGACCTCGCCGGCATGCCGTCGACGAACGAGGCGCGGCCCGGCGCGCACGGTCTGCTGACAGAGGTCGGCGCCGAGCTCGTCGACATGGACAGCGTGCAGGTGCACCCGACGGGGTTCGTCGACCCCAAGGCGCCGACGGCGCGGTACAAGTTTCTCGCGGCCGAGATGCTGCGCGGCGAGGGCGGCATCTTGCTTTCGTCCGACGGGCGGCGGTTCGTCAACGAGCTGGCGACGAGGGAGGTCGTCAGCAGGGCCATCATGCAACAAGGGCAACCCGCCGGAGACGAAGACGAGGCGACGGTGCGGCAGTGGGACGTGACGCTGGTGCTCGACCCGGGCGCCTGCGAGGCGGCCGGTTCTCACCTGGGCTTCTATCTGTTCAAAGGGCTCATGGAGAAGAAAAAGGTAGGCGAGCTGGCACCCAATATGATCGAGGCCGTGGACCGGTACGCCGAGGTGGTCGCATCAGGTCAGGATAAGGAATTTGGAAGATCGTCCTTTGGGCACTGGAGACTGCAGCCGGGCAAAACGAACCGGGAAGAGGTCGTTTGCGTGGCCAAGGTGACGCCCATTGTGCACTTCACCATGGGAGGCGCTGCGTTCGACGCAGAGGCTCGCGTGCTGCGGCGGGGGACGGGCGGCGTGCTGGAGCCGATTGAAGGGCTCTGGGCAGCTGGAGAGATTACTGGAGGCGTCCATGGTGACAACAGACTTGGAGGGTCATCTTTGCTCGAGTGTGCTGTGTTTGGGCGAACGGCTGGACGGCAGGCTGCAAAGGCTTTGTCGGGGTGACGCCGTGTATGGCCCTGAACCCCTGAACGCGAGCCGCCGTCGGTTTCACAAAGCTGCAAGACATCATCGCATGGCCGTAACGTTTTTTTTCTTCGCACAGATCGCACAAGTCGCAGTGATTGACTGAATGTTTCGTTATTGATTTCTCCAGAACACCAGACCGTGTCATGTACTCAGGCTACCAGTATCTTCCCCTTCCTTCAAAATGTCATCCAAAACCAGCTCCACCACAAAGTAAATTTTTGCTCCATATCGTACCATGTTGTATGTAAATACATTTGCAAGCGCCATGCCAAGGTCCGCCCTCGGGGAAGGAGGGCGGCCATCAAAATTCAGAGACAGCACATACTGCCAAATCAAAACGGACACCAAGTGCGAGGCACCGTTTAGAAGCCAAGGAGGCCGTTGAAGACGTCCGCCACCGCGGCGCTGCGGTCGCCGGAAGCCTCGACCTGAGCCTGAGCGTCCTCGCACTTCGCAATGGCCGCGGCGTTGGCATTGCAGACGTTGATGAGCTGGTCGCAGATGCGGTTGGTGATGATGTTGGGGTTGAGAGCATCCTGCTGTCCCTGGGCGACGAGAGGGTCGGTGGGAAGGAAGGTGCCCTCATTGGCGGCGCGGTTGCCACGGCCGAGCTGGAAGTCCATGGTAGGCGTGCACTGGCCAAAGTCGGCGGCACCGCCAGCATTGCCGCCAGCATTGCCGCCAGCATTGCCGCCGGCGTTGCCGCCAGCATTGTCGTTACCGGCGTTAGCGTTGCCAGCGTTGCCGTTACCAGCATCGGCGCCAGCTCCGGCTCCAGCATCAGGAGCAGGAGCAACAGCACCACAGCCGTTACCGGCATTGTTGTTATTACCGGCGTTGCCGTTGCCAGCATTGTTGCCACCGGCGTTGCCGTTGCCAGCGTTGTTACCAGCTCCAGCACCAGCTCCAGCACCGGCTCCAGCACCGGCACCGGCACCGGCACCGGCACCGGCACCGGCACCAGCTCCAGCTCCAGCTCCAGCTCCAGCTCCAGCTCCAGCTCCGGCACCGGCGGCAGCCTGGCCGTCAACCTTCAGATCCGAAAACCCGTTGGCGATGAACAGGTCGGCAACCGAGACGCCAGCAGCGTCAAGGGGCGTCTGCAGGGACGAGGCGCTGAGCTGGTTGGCCAGGGCCGAGTTGGCGACGGCAGGGTCAATGGCGGGCAGGATGCCGCGCAGGGCCTCGGTGGCGGGCAGGCTGGCGTCACCGCAAATGTTGGGAATGTCGGAAGTAAAGGGGTTGAAGTTCTGCTCGGCCGCGACGACACCGGCGGCGGCGGCAATGACAGCAGGGTCGTTGCCGAGGGTCGTGACAATCTTGTCGGCGAGGGTCAGCTTGGCGCAGGGGTTAGCACCGCCGAGGAGGACACCGGGGACGCCGCCGGCGAGGGTGGCAGCCTGGCCGGACTGGCCAAACCGGCCGTCGAGGGCGGAGACGGCGGCGACAGGGATCTGCTCCTGGCCGAAGCGGGCTTCGACGTAGGCCACGAGGGCGGAGATGAGGATGAGCTTGGCAGAGGCAGACATGTTGGATATGTTGACGAGGTTGGTTGTTTGTGGTTGTGAGGAACGAAGTGAAAACTGATATTCTGTCAAAGAATGAAAGAGGCCGGCTAGCGGTTGTAGTTGGATAGTCTTGCGAGGGGAGGGAGCGTAAGAATAGAATGGGAAAATAGTTCACAGAACCTAAAGATGGAAGGTAAGAGAAGGAAGGTAAGGAAGACCTGAGAGCGAAGGAAGACTTGATGAAGCTGGATGTGGATGAGGAGGGGGGAGGAAGAAAGAAGCATAACTCGACGGATGGGATGGGACGGTTATATAGGGAGGCAAGCAGTGAGAAGGTCGTCAAGTCGTATGTCGTCCCCGGCATGCCTGGCTCGCCGGGCCTCACGTCCCACAAGGTGGATGCTGTCCTGTCTGTGGTAGGTGTCATCCCAACTCGAGGCTTCGCTGTCGATCGGCTCCGACGCGAGGTGGAGGGACTGCAGGATCCGAAATGACGACGGGGATGCCCTGAAGTCGACCACACGGCCGCATTGCCAGAGGATGGTGCGGCGGCATCACAGATGCTCAGGTGGCTGCCATCTCAAAGCTCGGTCTCATCCGACGGGGCCCGTCTCAAGATGACCCAAAAAGAGAGAGTTGACGCTAAGGCCGAAGGATGGTACCACTTGATACAGGGTCCTCAAAGAAGCGCGAACCAAAACGGGGGCGCTAATGGTTGGGTGCTCTGGAAGCGAGGTAGCGATGAAGCGCCTCGAACACGGTCACCCTGGTCGACGACCAAGCTGACAGACCACCGTTGAGACGAGGGCGTACCAAAGTGGAGAGAGCCGACAGAGTAACTCTCTCCGAAGCGGCTCTGAAGCTTCAGGACGACAGATCTGGGCAGGTACACAATAAGGCACTCGGCCATCATCCGAGGACTGTTCTGATGAAGTTGATTGCTCCGAGTCATAGGCGCGGGACGTCAGTCATTGTCAAGGCTTCCGCTGCTGTGAAGCTGCATTAGCGGTCAATCTCAACTCGCTGTGAAGGTGAAAGTCAATCTGTGTTCATCAGGCTTGGCATTGTGCAGATCTTCTTTTGTCAGCTTCTCTTTCGTCTCGTGGGCTGGGCGACGGGCGACGGGCGACGTGCACCGGTCTCTCTCTCGTTCGAGGAGGGGCGGCGGCGGTGGCCAGGCTTGCCAGGCCAGAAAACATGATCGTCGCTGTTCAGTCGCAGTGCTGCGACGCCAGCGTCAAGGAACCAACAAGGAACCATGTCATGCTCCGCTCCAGGTTCCAGAAACGCGGCACGGGGGTTACGGGTCGAGGCAGGGTGCTCCAAGGTAACGTCGTGGGACGTGCATTGGTGTCCAGACCTGGGTGACAGCGGGTCTTCCTCGTCTTGGGAGGCGCTGTTTTAAGCTCGTGGGGAGGGGCTCGGATTGAGGCTCGATCGGGCCATGGTTTGCGTCCAAATGCCGATATTGCTGACGAACAAACGTTTCTCTTGGCTCTCTGGTCCGGCGAAGGTGCTTTGGTAGGTGAGACTAGAGGTGTGCGGTTTGTCAAGGTGGATGGCATAAGCATCGTAGGTTCTGGTCGGCATTCGTCTCCAGACAGAGGAAGCGAGACTCTGTTGGATGGGTCTGTGGTGAGCTGTCATCCGTCCAGCCACGCGATCTGCACGTCGTGTAGCGCAGGGCCGAGATCAAGATCTGACGGCCGGGTACAGGTCGACGGCCAGGTACAGGTCGACGGCCCTGTGCAAGTCGCCGTCTCCGAGCATCGAGACAAGATGGGGCTGGGTAGGGGGAACGGTGATTGTGATGGGAGAGAAGAGACCAGGCAGGCCTGAGAGACAGGCAGAGAGACAGGCAGGCCTCCAGCCTTGTCGTCTGGTTGAGCGTGTTTGAGGACGGGGGGTAAAAGCGGGGGCCCCGCAGGTACCGGAACGTCACCCCTCCGCGCGTCACTTGCCGTGGCACGCCAGGCTACCGCCCTGAGAGCAGCAACGGCAGGCACTTACAGCGCCTCACCTGCCTCAACGCCAAGAACACCCCGCTGAACCCGCCACACGTGTCCCCGTGCCACCCCTGGCCAGAAGAAGCCCCTCAGCCTCATCCGGGGGTCTCAGGCCGCGTCTGAGACGACATCCCAAACTCCAACCGTCTGGTCTGTCGTCCGTGAGACACCCAAGCAACTCTCCAGCTCTCTTTCTCTCTCCCTCTCCCTCTGTCTCCATCTCCCTCTCTCCCTCTGTCTCCATCTCCCCTCACCCTACTCTCCCATGGCACACTGCATCCCCGTCCATCTCGTGATCCCCTCATCCACGCCATCGCGGCGCCCCCCTGCCCTGCCCCTACTCCTCACCCAACCTCGCTTGGCGCTGACGACGCCCTCCCCTGCGCCGCTCACTCCACGCCCACCGTAACGCCCTGCGCGCACAGGCCCAGCATCGAGCAAGCAACCCGCCGTCGCTTCACCCGAGCCGTGGATGCCATCTCACCAGTACCCCTACGTCGCTCGCCGCTCCCCGCCTGCTTCAGATGATTCATCAAAAGCTTGGTCAGGACCCTGCCTGCCTGCCTGCCTGCCTGCCTGCCTGTGCCTGTGAAACAACGAGATCGTCCCTGCCCTGCTAGCCATGCCAACCTATCTGGCCCCCCCTCGAGCCATCATCATGCGATTGTAAGACAACCACGTTGCTCGTCTGAACACTTGCTGTGCAACGGCGGCTATCGAGCGCCAGAACGCCGATCACAACCACCACCTTCCTTCCTCCCCCTCCTCCTGCCGCCGCCGCTGCTGTGCTAGAAATAAACAACCGCCCCCTCCCCCCCCCCCTCTCTCTCCCCAGAATAGCTTGTTCGATCGCCCGTGTCATGTCGGCCAGTCGTCTGAAAGCAGTGTCGCCCTCTCTTCTCCTCCATCGCGTCCTCAAGCCAGGCAGACAGTAAGTAGGAA